TAAATAAAAAGTGAGCATGCTTATATACAGAATCAAAAATAAAATTTAAGAAAAAAGAAAAAAGCATGAAATATCTCCAGGTCACAGAAAACTAAAAAGTTAAACACAAAATTTGTTACATAACCAAATAAAATGTCTGAAAATAACTGATATGTAGAACTCAGTGAGTGGGTTTAATATCATATTAGAAATAATGTCCCAGGTTCAATGGCTCCCACCTGTAATCCCAGCACTTTAGGAGGCTGAGGTTGGCGGATCACTTAAGCCCAGAGGTTTGAGACTAGCCTGTGAAACGTGGCAAGACCTGGTCTCTACAAAAAAAAAAAAAAAAAAAAAAAAAAAAAAAAATAGTCAAGTGTGGTGCTGTGTGTCTGTAGTCCCAGCTACTTGGGAGGATGAGGTGGGAGGATCACTTGAACCCAGGATACTGAGGCTGCTTGAATCCAGAAGACTAAGCCATGATTGCACCACTGCACTGCAGCTTCAGTGACAGAGTGAGACCTCGTCTCAAAAGAAACAAAAAATGTTAAAAAGAAATTATTTTAGTGACCTAAAGGAGAAATATCTGAGCCAAACATGGCACAGAGAGATAAAAAGAGAGAATATACTGATAAGAGGGTAAACGTGATGGCAGATGAATCAGATGGTCTAATATATGTTGAAGTGGAATTCCAGGAAATAGAATGAGAACATGTTTATTTGGAATCCCAGAGGAAAGGGAGAAAAATGATGAGGCACAGACAATATTTGAAAAGACATGGCTAATAATTTTCAGAAGATTGTGGAAACCCCAACCCACAGATTCATAAAGTCAAATAATTCCAAGTAGAATAAATACGTTTTAAAATTCACATTTAAATACATCATGGTAAAACTGCAGAACAAAAGACAAAGAAAAATCTCAAAAGCAGCCAGAGGAGAAAAGATGGATTATTTACTTATTCAACATCTCTTGTAACCTGCAGTACCCTACTTTTTATTCTAGCCAATTCTGGCAACATGCTTCACACATTTGTAACCTAATAGGGTCTCACATCAACTCTAGCACCACAAGCTTTATTCCTTCTCTGTCAGGGCCTGTCTATCCCTGCATCTTGGCTGCCCGTGGAAACCTATTCTGCAGTTAGATATGCACAACTGAAAAGTACAAGGAGTTAACAAGCCAAGGGGGAACCTCTGACTAATGGCGGCTGGGAACCTTTCTTTTCCTTTGTGAGGCTAACTCTGAGGCATTTTCTGTTATTCTGTTGGACAATTTTAAGACGCATTTCACATGGCTTCTTGGAGGGGCTCAGCGAGTTGTGCTCTAGTGGGAAAAATTGTATCTCTCGTTTCCTAACCACTTTTCCTCGTCCTCCACTCTTATTTCCTGGTATCACCTCCAAAAATAAACTACAAGTACATTTCTGGTGAACCCAGGCTAAGATGCTTTCAAAGGAATAACAGGCAGAAAGATGGTTTTCTAACAGCAACAGTGGAGGTATGGAGCCAGTGAAAGAGTATCTTTAAAACACCAAGACAGAGAAACTACTAACTGGCAACTGAAGAGAGGAATATACAACAGGCAGAACAAACAGAAAGCAAATCTAAGAATATATTGTGCCTGTATTAGATGAAAATGAACTTAATGCTCTAATTAAAGACATAAAAATCCAGTCAAGAAAAAAAAAAAAAAAAAAAAAAAAACCTCAACTTTATAGTGTTTATAAGACACACGTTAGAAATGTAAGTCTGGTTTGAGTTGGTGTTTTAAAAAAAACTGTAAGGATACAGGAAACTGAAAGTGAAAGCAGAAAGAATGTATACCCACATACAAATATTCATCCCCCCAAACCTGGTCTAGCTATATCAGAAAAACACATTGTAAAACAAAGCATTTATAAAGATAAAGGTGGTTATCACTTTGCTTCGTTTCATCATTGTGGATAATTGATCAAACTGTAGTTTCAAAATAATCCCCTCAAACTGCTCATTTGGGAAAAAACAAACAAACCCTGATTTGGTTATTGGAGGCAGTGACACCTAACTATTCCCTCTAAAGTTGATTACAAAATGAAACAATTGGTTGCTTATCCTTTTGATTTATCAATCTGTCCCTTGTGAATTTGATTACCATGAGATAGGATAATATACTATTAAAAAATCAGATAGCTCTTGACTCACTAATATGTAAACAATCCTGTAAGAAATTAACATTCAGCTAACTCCTCATTTTAGATTTTTCTTTAGTATGTTTTAATTGCAACAAGACAAAATTTAAATCTTGAAAGAGGTACATTTGTAACAAAAAGAAAGGATTTATTTATTCACTGTGTTGCAGCTTTAGAAAATTTATTTGTCTCCAAGTGATAAAGAATTCAATAAGTGATTAGCCAGATTTTTGATATGGATGCTGAAGGAACATCTCTAAAGCACCTTAATGGTCAGCCTCTTCACGAAAAATGAGGTTAATAGAAAATAGGCCCTATATACCAATAATAGACAAGCAGAGAGCCAAATCATGAGTGAATTCCCATTCACAATTGCTACACAGAAAATAAAATACCTAGGACTACAACTTATAAGGAACATGAAGGACCTCTTCAAGGAGAACTACAAACTACTGCTAAAGGAAATAAGAGAGGACACAAACAAATGGAAAAAAATTCCATGTTCATGGATAGGAAAAATCAGTATCATGAAAATGGCCATACTGCCCAAAGTAATTTATAGATTCCATGCTATCTCCATCAAGCTACCATTAACTTTCTTCATAGAACTAGAAAAAACTTCTTTAAATTTTATATGGAACCAAAAAAGAGCCTGAATAGCCAAGACGATCCTAAGCAAAATGAACAAAGCTGGAGGTATAATGTTACCTGACTTCAAACTATACTTCAAGGCTACAGTAACCAAAACAGCATGGTACTGTACCAAAACAGAGACATAGACCAATAGGACAGAAAAGAGGCCTCACTGGCTGGGCACGGTGGCTCATGCCTGTAATCCCAGCAATTTGGGAGGCCGAGGTGGGCGAATCACCTGAGGTCAGAACTTTGAGACCAGCCTGGCCAACATAGCGAAATCCTGTCTCTACTAAAAATACAAAAAATTAGCTGGCGTGGTGGCACATGCCTGTAATCCCAGCTACTCAAGACAGTAGCTTGAACCCAGGAGGTGGAGGTTGCAGTGAGCTGAGATCACACCATTGCACTCCAGCTTGTGAAACAAGAGCAAAATGCCGTCTCAAAAAGAAAGAAAGAAAGAAAGAAAAAGGCCTCAGAAATAACACCACATATCTACAACCATCTGCTCTTTGACAAACTGACAAAAACAAGCAATGGGGAAAGGCTTCCCTATTTAACAAATGATGCTGGAAAAACTGGCTAGCCATATTCAGAAAACAGAAACTGGTCCCCTTTCTTACATCTTATACAAACATTAACTCAAGATGGATTAAAGGCTTAAACATAAAACCTGAAACCATAAAAACCCTAGAAGAAAGCCTAAGCAATGCCATTGAGGACATAGGCATGGGCAAAGACTTCATGACTAAAACAGTGAAAGCAATGGCAGCAAAAACCAAAATTGACAAATGGGATCTAATTAAACTAAAGAGCTTCTGCTCAGCAAAATAAACTAACATCAGAGTGAACAGGCAACCTACAGAATGGGAGAAAATTTTTGCCATCTACACATCTGACAAAGGGCTAATATCCAGAATCTACAAGAAAACAAATTTATAAGAAAAAAATCTACAAGAAAACAAATTTATAAGAAAAAAAACAAACAGCCCCATCAAAAAGTGGGCAAAGGATATGAACAGACACTTCTCAAAAGAAGACACTTATGCTGCCAGCAAACATGAAAAAAAGCTCATCATCACTGATCATTAGAGAAATGCAAATCAAAACCATAACAAGATACCATCTCGCACCAGTTAGAATGGCAATCATTAAAAAGTCTGGAAACAACAGATACTGGTGAGGATGCAGAGAAATAGGAACCCTCTTACACTGTTAGTGGTAGTGTAAATTAGTTCAACCATTGTGGAAGACAGTGTGGCAATTCCTCAAGGACCTAGAACCAGAAATACCATTTGACCCAGAAATCCCATTACTGGCTATATACCCAAAGGATTATAAATCATGCTATCATAAAGACACATGCACATGTATGTTTATTACAGCACTGTTTACAAAAGTAAAGACTTGGAACCAACCCAAATGCCCATCAATGATAGATTGGATAAAGAAAATGTGGCACATACACATCATGGAATACTATGTGGCCATAAAAAAGACTGAGTTCATGTCCTTTTCAGGGACATGGATGAAGCTGGGAACCATCATTCTCAGTAAACTAACACAGGAACAGAAAGCCAAACACCACATGTTCTTACTCATGAGTGGGAGTTGAACGATGAGAACACAGGACACAGGGAGGGGAACATCACACACTGGGGCCTGTCAGGGGGTGGGAAAAAGGGGAGAGAGGGCATTCAGACAAATAACTAATGCATACGGGGCTTAAATCCTAGATGATGGGTTGATAGGTGCAGCATACCACCATGGCACATGTATACCTATGTAACAAACCTGCATGTTCTGTCCATGTATCCAAGAACTTACAGTAAAATTTAAAAATAAATAAAAATAAATTTAGAAAAAGAAAATATGAAGAATGTTCAAAGTTCTAAAGAAAGGTTTATGATTGTAGAGATCAAGCATAAGTTCAAAACCACTATAATGGCTGAACTAAAAGAGATCATGAAAGTGGATTTAGTTAGATTTGGGCAGCTTAAAATCTTGTCCATTGATTACAAATTATTCATAATCCTTACAAAAGAAAGGCAGCATATAATCCTTTGGGTATACACCCAGTAATGGGATTTCTGGGTCAAATGGTATTTCTGGTTCTAGATCCTTGAGGACTTGCCACGCTGTCTTCCGCAATGATTGAATTAATTTGCACTCCCACCAACAGTTTTTATCTACGATGACAGTAACGTTTCTACCTACTATTGAAGGTTCTTCTGCACTCCCGTCCAACTCTTCAGCAACTGCATTTTCTGGATCATATGCCCACACGATGATAGACTAGAAAATAAAATTTGTTTGCATTTCTTTACATTTTGTACAAATTTCATTTTTAGTTGTGGCAAAACATAACCATAAACATGTTTTTATTTATTTTGAAATTTTTGATTATCCCACTTTTAAAAATAAAAAGCAACAGTGCTTTACATAAGAGAAGGATGTCCACCAAAGGACATATGAAGAAAGAATTAATACAATCCCTGTACACCCCTTAAGTAGGTAATGTTTACATGTCTTATGAATGCTTATCTTTTTTTTGAGATGGAGTTTTGCTTTTGTTGCCCAGGCTAGAGTACAGTGGTGCAATCTTAGTTCACTGCAACCTCCACCTCCCGAATTCATGCAATTCTCCTGCCTCAGTCTCCTGAGTAGCTGGGATTACAGGCACCCATCACCACACCTGGCTGATTTTTGTATTTTTAGTAGAGACAAGGTTTCACCAGGTTGGTCAGTCTGGTTTTGAACTCCTGACCTCAGGTGATCTGCCCGCCTCGGCCTTCAAAAGTGCTGGGATTACAGGCATGAGTCACCATACCTGACCCATCTTTCTTTATACCCATACATAGGCACAGCAACCTCACCCCCACTCACATGCTTTTTATAAAAATGAAATCACCCTATACATGTTACTTGTAAGTTAATATTTGTCACTTGATGCAAGGCTAGTTCAATAGATATAGAACTGTTTTCTTTCTTATTTTTTCTTGAGTATTTATTAATATAGGTAAACATTATATTAAAAATACAGCAAAAGCTGTCTCTTGCACCCTGTAAACCATCACTCAATTCCCATAAATCCATCTGCACCCCAGAGGTAACTATTATTAGTAAGTTCTTGTTTAGATTCCTATAAAATGTTTGTGTATAACCAAGATATATTATTTTCATCCCTTCTACACAAATGCTAGCATGCTAAACATATTTTTTCCAAATCTTCTGCTCTTCATCTAAAGTTATTTTAGAGATCTTTACATATTTTCATTGATCTTTCAGTTGGACATTATTCCAAATTATGGAGGAACTACAATTTATTTAACCAGTAACCTACTAAACATTTGTTTCTAATCTCTTGCCATTATAATCATTCAATGCTACAATGAGCAACTTTGTACAAATTTGAGCATATTGGTAGGGCACATTCCTAAAAGTGTAATTGTTGAGTCATGGGGTAAATGCATTGTAATTTTCATAGATCCTGGTAAACTGCTTTCTGCAGCAGTTGCACCAATATGCCCTCTCAGTAGCAATATATGAGAATTCATCTTTCCTTATGTTCTTTCCCAACATCATGTTTTGCATACATTTGATTATTGCCAGTCTGATGGGTGAAAAATGGTACCATGGTATGGTTTTTTTTAATTAATTTTTATTTATTTATTTTTATTTGAGATGAAGTTTTCCTCTGTCGCCAGGGTGGAGTGCAATGGTGCAATCTCGGCTCACTGCAACCTCCACCTCTCGGGTTCAAGCAATTCTCCTGCCTCAGCTTCCCGAGTAGCTGGGATTACAGGCACCCGCCACCACGCCCACCTATTTTTTGTATTTTTAGTAGGGACGGGGTTTCTCCATGTTGGCCAGGCTGGTCTCAATCTCTTGACCTCGTAATCCGCACACCTCCGCCTTCCAAAGTGCTAGGATTACAGTCATGAGGCACTGTGCCTACCCAAACACCATTTTTTATTTGACAACATTGGATACTTCTTTTTACTACTTTATTCAGAATTTTTGCATGTATTTCAAATATAAGAGATGTTAACATTTTTTGGAACCATGTCAGGTTTTTGGTTTTAAAGTTATGCTGGATTTATAAATTGAATGTGGAACTTCCTATAATGTTTGCAATGGGCCATAATAGTTTAAATAATAATGATAGGGACTTTATCTTGTTCATTACTGTGTGCCCAGCACCTAGGCTAGAGCTAACAGAGATTAGATATTCAGAGATATGTTGAATGTTGAAACATCATCAGCATCATTTGATCTTTAAAGGTTAGCAGGATCTTATATGAAACCATTTGGTCCTGGTGCCTTTTAAAATATTAATAGTGAAATCACCTTTCCAATCTCTTTTGTTGGAGCTTGGCCTTGTCAAGTGCTCTACTTCTTTGGCCAAGTCTGTTAATACATACTGCTAGGGAAATCTTCCATCTATATTTAAAAAATCATTGCTGAAGAGTTGCATGTAGTATATCTTTTCCATGTCTGTGATTGTATCTCCTTCCTCATTCTTAATCTTGTGTATTTTTCTTTAATTAGTCTTTTGAGAGGTTTATTTTACTGGTCCTTTCAAAGACAGTTTTTGCATATATTTAACCTTTGTATTATTTTATTAACTTTAACTTTTATGTTTAATCATCTGTTCGTTTTGGTTTATTTTCATTGTTCCTTTCATAATTCCTTAAGAACTAGTGTTTTTAAATTTAGTTTATTTATTATTGCCATTTTTAAGACAGGGTCTCACTGTCACCCAGGCTGGAGTGCAGTGACATGATCATAGTTCACTGCAGCCTTGACCTCCTGGGTACAAGCAATCCTCCTGCCTTGGCCTCCCAAGGTGCTGTGATTACAGGCATGAGCCACCACATCCAGTCAGTTTATTTTATTCTATTTTTTTTTTTTACTTTAAAATTCCTTAGAACTATAGTTTTGTGTCTAAGAGTGGCTGAAATATATAGACTTTGATATAAAATGTTCAAATTTCAATCCATTTCTATATCTGTATATATTTTTCCATGACCTTAGTGCAGTGCAGTCATAAAGAATATAGGCTTTTTGGCCAGGCATGGTGGTTCACGTCTGTAATCCCAGCACTTTGGAAGGCCAAGGCGGTCGATCACTTGAGCCCAGGAGTTCGAGACCCACCTGGGCAACACGGAGAAACCTCATCTCTACTAAAAATGGAAAAATTAGCTGGGCACGCTGGTGCCTGCCTGTAGTCTCAGCTACTTGATTGGCTGAGGTGAGAGGATCACCTGAGCCCATGATACAGAGGTTGCAGCAAGCTGAGATTGTACCATGCCACTCAACTCCAGCGTGGGCCCTGTCTCAAAAACAAAACAAAACAAAACAAAGCATATATATAGGGTTTTAATGTTTGTCTTCTTTTTTTAACCTTTTTTTTTGGATTTATGCATATTGTACATTTCAGCAGTACATTCCTTTTATTGCTAACTAGTATTTCATTCTCTTAACATACCACAGTTCACCTCTTAATAGACATTTGGATTGTTACAAGGTTTTGACTTGCAAATAAAGCTGCCAAATTCACTTATGTCTTTTTGCGGGCATGTTTTTATTTCTTTTCAGTAAATACCTAGGAATGGAGTTGGTAGGTCATATGGTTTATTTTTAGAAGGAACTGGCCATTATCCAATGTGGTAGTTACATTTTACATACTCATCAGCAATTTATAAAATTTAATTGCTTCATCTTCTTGATGATATTTGGTATCAGCCTTTTCAATCTTTTTTTTTGAGACAGGGTCTGGCTCTGTTGCCCAGGCGGGAATGCACTGGCACAATCTCAACTCAATACAACTTCCACCTCCTTAAAGACTTTTTACATAGTTTAAACCTTCTACTTTTCTATATAAACTTTTGAACTGGGTTGTCATTTTCTATAAAAAACCTTTTGGGGTTCTGTTTGGGACTGCAGTGACTATAAGTTAGTTTGGGGGAAAAGTGACATTTTAACAACATTGACTCTTGATCCGTGAACATTTGGTTTTCTTTGAATTTTCTTAGTAATGTTTTATAATTTTCAATTTACAGGTCAGACACATACATTATTAAAATTTCTCAAAGTGGCCAGGCACAGTGGCTCATGCCTGAATCTCAGCACTTCAGGCATGGAGGCCAAGGTGGGCGGGTCACCTGAGGTCAGCAGTTCAAGACCAACCTGGCCAACATGGTGAAACCACATCTTTGCTAAAAATACAAAAAATTAGCTGGGTGTGGTGGCATGCACCTGTAATTCTAGCTATGCAGGGGGCTGAGGCAGGAGAATCGCTTGAACTCGGGAGGTAGAGGTTGCAGTGAGTCGATATAGCACCACTGCACTCCAGCCTGGGTGACAGAGTGAGACACAGTCTCAAAGAATGAAATAAAATAAAATAAAATAAATTAAATTCCTCAAAGTATGTAATGTACTTGATGCTACTATAAGTGATATTTAAAAATGCTATTTTCTAATTGCTTATGGCTAATATTTTAAAATACAATTATTTTTTCTTCATTATAAGTCTTGTTCTATTTGACTTAAAATGTTTTTCTTATGTTTTATTTCCATGGGCACACAGTAGTTGTATCTATATAGAGGGTACATGAAATGCTTCGATACAGGCATGTAATGTGACATGATCACACCATGGAGAATGGGGTATCCTTCTCCTGAAGAATTTATCCTTTGTGTTACTGTTTCAGCTATTTTAAAACGCACAATTAAATTATTATTGACTATAGTCACCCTGTTGTGCTATCAAATAGGAGGCCTCAGTCATTCTATTTTTTTATACTCATTAGCTATTCCTCCTTCTCCCAACCCCCACCACCCTTCCCACACTCTGGTAACCATCCTTCTACTCTCTATGTCTATCATTTGATTTGACTTTTAGATCCCACAAATGAGTGGGAACATGCAATGTTTGTCTTTCTGTGCCTGGCTTGTGTCACTTAACACCATGATTTGCAGCTCCATCCATGTTGTTGCAAATGGTAGGATCTCATTCTTTTTAAAGGCTGGATAGTACTTCATTGTGTATATGTACCATATTTTCTTTATTCACTTGTTGATAAAAATTTAGGTTGCATCCTGGCTATTATGCATGGTGCTATAATAAACATGCATTAAACAGATATCTCTTAGATATACTGATTTCATTTCTTGTGGGTATATATACAGCAGTGGCATTTCTGGATCATATGGTAGTTTTATTTTTAGTTTTTTTTTTTTTAATTTTTTATTGCATTTTAGGTTTGGGGGTACATGTGAAGAACATGCAAGATTGTTGCATAGGTACACACATGGCAGTGTGATTTGCTGCCTTCCTCCCCATCACCTATATATTTTTTTGAGACAGAGTCTCACTTTGTGACCAGGCTTGAATGCAGTGGCGCAATCTTGGCTCACTGCAACCTCCAGCTCCCTGGTTCAAGCAATTCTCCTGCTTCAGCCCCTGAAGTAGCTGGGACTATAGGCGTGCACCACCACGCCCAGCTAATTTTTGTATTTTTTTAGTGCAGACAGGGTTTCACTATGTTGGCCAGGATAGTCTCAATCTCTTGATCGTCGTGATTTACCTGCCCCGGCCTCCCAAAGTGCTGAGATTACAGGCATGAGCCACCGCGCCTGGCCTATTTTTAGTTTTTTGAGGATCCTCCAAGCTGTTCTCCACAGTGGTTGTACTAATTTACACTCCTACCAACAGTGTACATGGGTTCCCTTTTCTACACATTCTCATCAGCATTTGTTATTGCCTGTCTTCTGATTAGCCATTTTAACTGGGGTGGGATAATATCTCATTGTAGTTTCTTTTTTTGTTTGTTTGCTTTCTTTATGTTTTGTTTTTTGAGACAGGGTCTCACTGTGTCACCCAGTCCAGAGGGCAGTGTTGCAATCTTGGCTCACTGCAAACTCTGCCTCCCAGGCTCAAATGATCCTCCTGCCTTAGCCTCCTGAGTAGCTGGGATTACAGGTGTGTGCCACCACACCAGCTAATTTTTGTATTTTTGGTAGAGACAGGGTTTCACCATGTTGGCCAGGCTGGTCTTGAACTCCTGACCTCAAATGATTGCCCACCTTGGCTTCTGAAAGTGCTGGAATTATAGGTGTGAGCCACTGCTCCCAAGCCTCATGAACATACCTTGTTTTTGTTTCTGTTCCTTCTTTTATCCTTTGACTGTTTTAAATATGAACTAAGTAATATTTTAAATGAATCTTGTATTTCATTTTGAGTAGTATGAACTGTCTCCATTTTTGCGCATCTATTCCAGGCAGTTGTTTCTTTGTGGTCTACACCTTTTATTGTGAAGTTATTTATAGAGTTTGTTTTCTATAAGAATCCTGTAAACTCTTTATTATGGGTTTTGCAATCACTTCTGCCTGGGATCTAAATGTTTGACTGCTTGCAAAGTTCTATTTGTATTTATTTATTGGCTGTAGGTTCTTCATCCTCTTGGGCTGTGAAATTAGGATGTTTACCTGAAATCTGGGTAATCCCTTATCTGTTTACAGCCCCCATAATAGGTGTATCATTTCTTTGCAATTATCCTAAGCCAGTGATAGAGGTTTACCAGTCCCCATTTTACAGACAGTTATAAATTTTAAAGACTTTTTTTTTCTTTTGAGACGGAGTCTTGCTCTGTTGCCAAGCTGGAGTGCAGTGGCATGATCTTGGCTCACTGCAACCTCCAACTTCCTGGTTCGGGTGATTCTCTGGCCTCAGCCTCCAGAGTAGCTGGGATTACAGGCACAAGCCACCATGCCCAACTAATTTTTGTATTTTTATCAGAGACGGGCCTTCACCATGTTGGCCAGCATGGTCTTGATCTCCTGACCTTGTGATCCACCTGCCTTGGCCTCCCAAAGTGCTGGGATTACAGGTATGAGCTGCCACACCTGGCCAAGACATTTTCTAAATCCTAACTTCATACAGGGAGATTAGTTTCAGCTTCCTTTACTCCTATAGGCTGAAACTTTCATTCCCTAGTCCCATAAAATCATGAAAATACCACTCCTTTGCCGCTAGGGATCATATTCTGTTCTAATTCAATCTTGTAACTCTGGCTTTGAGTGCCTTAATTATTTCTGACCATCAGGAAATTCCTTTTCTGTCTTTTAAATTCCATATGCACACATGCACTTGTATTAATGTAAAGATCTGTGAGTGTGTGTACTAGCAGTATATACACATATATTTTCTATAGGCATTTCTATGTGTTTTGAGTGAGAAGGAGTTTTTAATGCATTGAGTCCATAATATATATTCTACTTCTGTAAGTTCTCCTGTATTTTCTAAAATTCCTTAATTACTGATAATATTACTTCTTGCTTTTGAGCATTGTTATAATTGTAGCCTCAAAAGATAATTCAATAATATCAATGGGATTTGGAGTAGTAGCAGTTATGGGCACATGAGCTCACTCAATCATCTTGATCCACTATAGACAGTTTATCTTTTTCTACTACTTCTTTTTTTTCCCCAGTAAATTGTCGCTTTTAGAGACTTATATTATCTATATAGAGCTGCAATTTCCAAATATAATAACCTTATTTCAATTTTCAACATTTTGAATATATCTTTCCATCATAATTCTAATCATCCTCTATTCTAGAATTTTAAAACTTTTTGATCTTAGGGCCCCCTTCATACTTTTAAAAATTATTAAGAATCCTACAAGGCTTTTTTTTATGTGGTTTAGATCCACCAGTATTTACCATATAACAAATTAAAACTGATAACATCTAAAGATTATTTATTTTCAAAACTATGGTAAATCTATTATATGTTAACATATTTTTATGAAAAATAGCTACTTTTCAAAAGAAAAATATTAGTAAGAATGGATGCTTAATATTTTTAAAACCATCTTTAATATTTGTATTAATAAAGGACAGCTGGATAATCATCTCTGCTCCTTCACCCAAGTTGTTGGTGAAAATTGTCTTTGTGGAGGTAAAAGGGGGAAAAATCCATCCTTACACAGGTAGGTTGTTGGAAAAGGGTGAACCTCATGAACCTCCTGAATGGGTCTTATAGAAAGATATACACCTTGAGTACCACTACTCTAAGCAAATATCATTGCAAAATTAGTTTGAAAATTTTTTCATCTGGTAAATATGGAAGATAAGAGAGAGACAATATAGTAGCGATATATGAAGGCTACACAAAATTTTAAAAATATTTTACCTGGGTTAAGTTGTTAAAGAAATGTCTGTTGGGAAAAAGAGGAAACATATTTTAGTAAACAGCCTGTTAAACATTAGTTTAAATATTCTATTTTCAGTATACATGTTTCTAAACCTTTGCATATTCTCTTTATGTTTCATTACAGATATATGAAATTAAAGGCTATATGTAAAAACAAAAATTGCATATGTCTATTTATTTATCATTATTGTTACTGATTCTCATTTGTCATCACAGAGGCTGAATGGCTTAAATCTGCGTGCTTCCTTAATACTGCAAGTTCACATCATCAAAACTTCTTGATTAATCTTCCATAAAATGTTGATATTGTCATTCTACATAAAAAACCCCGACAGTCTTTCATGTTACCATTTATGTCAAACAGAAATTTGTCTTTTAGCATGACAAATCCTTCCCTCACCTGAAAGGAATAACAGGCTGGGCCTGGTGGCTCACACCTGTAATCACAGCACTTCAGGAGGCCGAGGCAGAAGGACTGCTGAAGCCCAGGAGTTTGAGATCAGCCTGAGACACATAGTCTCTATTTTTCCTGTCTCTACATTTAATTATAAAATTTTAAAAAAGGAATAATACTCATTTGCATGTTTAGTTGTATGTTTTCTAGAAAGTTTTTTTCCACTGTAAAGTTACCTGCATATTTTTAGCATATATAATCTCTAAAAGTCAGTACCTCATGACTATGTCCGCCCATTTGCTGATTATTGCACATTGTCTAGTACATTATCATGCAAAAAACAAAATGAAAATGTTTTGGGGAATCAGCAATGAGTATGCAATAAGTTTCCAAGACCACATAATGAATATTGTATTTCATGTGTTCAATCTGATATGTTAGAAAGCTGCTGAAACTACTATAACTACAGTATGACACTACTATAACTCTTCATAGGTAAACTGTGCCCAGAGTTCAACACAGTCCAAGGTTGATTAAAAAGACCCCTGGCTCCAGGCTGATACATTCTGCCTTCAGTTATGCTTACTAGTCAGAGGCACGGGAAAGAAGAATCGAGTCACTAAGTGAGTTCCCAGCGTATCCAGAAGGAAAATTTGAAGGCAAAAAAAGATATGTGTAGATAATAAAAGAAAGCCTTTGGTATTAACACAGTAACCTTGTAGAGAAGGAAATCAGTATCACTTGACATTAAAGTAACAGCCTTGATTTTCATGGGAAGACAATATTAGCAGCATTCTTCTGGGTCTTTATCAGTTTTCTTGGCTTTCTTGAGTTAATGCACAGACTGAAGTGTAGAGTTCAGAATAAGAAGAGAAAACCCTGAACTGAACTGACATTTAAGGTGAGGACAGATGATAAAAAGCCAAAGAAAAAGAAGACTGGGAAGGCCAGGCGTGGTGGCTCATGCCTGTGATCCCAGCACTTTGGGAGGCTGACCTCTCCGAGGTCAGGAGATTGAGACCATCCTGGATAACCCTAAAAATACAAAAAAAATAAAATAAATAAATAAAAATAGCTGGGCGTGGTGGCTCGTGCCTGTAGTCCCAGCTACACAGGAGGCTAAGGCAGGAGAATTGCTTGAGCCCCGAAGGCAGATGTTGCAGTGAGCAGAGATAGCACCACTGCACTCCAGCCTCAGCGACAGAGTGAGAATCCATCTCAAAAAACTAAAGAAAGAAAACGAAAATCACTGGGAAAAATACTATTATAGAAATAGAACATAGTGGTATCAGTGAAGAAATGAAGGTGTTTCAAAAAGAAAGTGATCCTCAGAATTAAATGTGGTTCAGTGTATTATAGTAAGAGGATCAAAACAATCCCATCGAATTTGACAATTACCTTCAGTGACTTTGCCAAAGCAAGTAGATAGATGGATGGATGGATGCATAGGTAGATAGATAGATAGACAGACAGATAGAAAGTACTAGAATACAGTGATGAAACAGAAAAATGTCACAGTGAATTTGGGAAGGCTAGTTTCAGCACAACTCCATGGATCCTTTGACCTTTTTATTCTCTATTCTAACCCTAGAGATACAGAGACAGAAAAAATCAAGAGAGTTTGGATGCCAACATGATTCTTGTTCATGAATTCTTTCATGAATTTGTTTCATGAATTCTTGATTTGGGGGCAGAGTCAATAAGTGTTGAGAGCCAAGAGAAAAAGAGGCAGTGCTTGAAGTCTCCTGCACTCTGCAGTATTTGTCTTGAAATTCTTAACAAATCTATCTTTGAACTTTGGTTTTATCAGTGAAATGTGATGAGACAGTGAAGCCTGCATTGGGGACATGGAATTTTGGCTCCTGTACAGTCCCGCCTCCTGCTGCCTCTCTGCCTCCCTGGGACAGTTTATTTGCCCCTGATTCCCCTCCATGCTCTGGCACCTTGGGTCCTGACCAGCCTTCACCTCCTTAACCCGTGTCCCACAAGCTGCTGGGAGCAGCCTGCTGGCGCAGTGGCATAAGTCTAATAGCTGCAAGGTTGCTGGTTCAAATCCCCAGTAGGGCCAGACTTGTCTGGGGCTTAAATGGGGGACCATCTGGAGAGTCCAGGAGCTGGAGGTTATAGGATATTGTGTTTTAGTCACCTGCAAATTTCCCAATCCAACTGAATGGTGCCAGAATCTAATAATGTACAATCTGTCTTGCCTAGGATTGGCTCTCCGTATGGCAGAACTTCTCCATCTAGAAGATCATAGTCAGACTGGGTCCAAGGCTCAAATAGTTAATTAAAGCCCCCTAGGGCATATTCCTATAATGGAGAGTAGGGTGGGGGAGGAGGCCTTGGCCACATGGCCATCCAGCCTTTTTTAGGATTGTTGTGCTCAGAGGTCCCCTCTAGATGTTTACCCTACGAGGGCAGTTTTATAATTAGGCCTATGTTAATTGAACTCTTGCTAGGGAATATTAACACCCATCACCCAAACCTCACTGGCCTAGTTCAGGGACATGCTGGTACGAAGCACTAATCCCAGCAGTCCACATGTCCTTATCGTGGTCAATGGGGACATGTGGACAGTGAGCATGTGTGCCATGGCACTGATAAGTGTGATTAAACCCAGCACATGGAAGGCCTCGAAAGATAATCATGCATTTTAGGCACAAGGAAATTACAAGGTGCTATAACTGGGGGATGCCCCAGGGCTAGCATTTGCAGGAATAACCAGGGATGCAGACATTCCTGTGTTTGATTTCAGATGGGTGCTACTCTTCCCAAGGCAAAATCTCCTTTAAAATCTATCCTGGACAACTGGGACCAATTTGACACACAATCTTTGAAGAAGAAGTGGCTCATTTTTCTCCGCCAAACAGCGTGGCTGTGATACTCTCTGCTGAGTGGAAAAACCTGGCCTCCTAAGGGAAGTATAGATTATAACACCATTCTACAATTAGACCTGTTTTGTAAAAGTGAAGGTGAATGATTTAAGGTCCCCCATGTGCAAATTTTCTTCTCTCTAAGGAATAATGTCAGCTATGTAAGGCCTGTACCCCATACCCTACTAACCCCTCCTCTGGACTACCCCCACATTTAGGACTCCCTGTGGCTCCTCCCTCCAATGCTAACCAGGCCTCCTCAGCTCCAATAATCCAAAAGGAGTCAGAGAAGGCCTAGATGGCCAAAGCACCTCAGGCTACTAGGATTCCCCAACTCTGCCCTCTATGGGCAGTAGGAGGAGAATTTGGCCTGACCAAGGGGCACACTGCCTTTTCACTTTCTAAATTAAAGCAAATCAAGGCGGACTTAGGAAAATTTTCCAAAGACCCGGACAAATACATAGATGTTCATAGATGTTCTGCAGGGCCTGGGTGAGTCCTTTGAATTAGATTGGAAAGATATTATGTTATTGCTTAGTCAGACCCTAACCAGCAATGAGAGAGAGGCTGCTTTAGCAGCAGCTCAAGAGTTTGGGGACACATGGTACCTTAGTGAAGTGCACGACCAAATGACGCCAGAGGAGAAGGACAGATTTCCTACAGGCAGATAAGCAGTCCCTAGCACAGACCCTCGCTGGGATCCTGACTCAGAACAGGGAACTGGAGTCGTAGGCACCTATTAGCCTGCATACTTGAGGGATTAAGGCCAACTAGGAAAACGCCCATGAACTATGCAATGTTATCCACCATAACTCAGGGAAAAGAAGGAAACCCACAGCCTTCCTTAAGCAGTTACAGGAGGCTTTAAGTAGGTATACGCCCCTGTCGTCACACTCCAACGAGGGTCAGTTAATACTAAAGGACAAATTTATTAAGCAGTCAGCAGCAGACATTCAGAGGAAGCTCCAAGAGCTGGCCCTGGGGCCAGAACAGAGTCCAGAATCTTTATAAACCTAGCAAGCTCGGTGTTTTATAATAAAGACCAGGAGGAACGGGCTAAAAGGAGCAGGAGAGACCAGAGAAAAGCCGCAGCCCTACTCATGGCCTTCAGGCAGGCAGCCCCAAGGGGCTCAGATGAGGGAAGGGCTTGGGTTAGCCGCCAGTCTGGCAGAGCTTGTTTCCACCGTGGCCTAACGGGACCCTTTATAAGAAACTGTCCCCAAAGGACTGGACCACCTCCTCATCCTTGCCCACTGTGCCAAGGGGATCACTGGAAGGAACACTGTCCTTGGGGACGAAGATTCCCAGGGCCTGAGGTGGCTAACCAGATGACCCAACAGCAGGACTGAGGGTGCCTGGGGCAAGTGCTAGCACAAGCCATCACCCTCACAGAGCCCCAGGTAAAGCTGACCATAGACGGCCAGGAAGTTAATCTCCTCCTGGACACTGGCGTGGCCTTTTTTAGTCTCCTGTCCTGGACGGCTGTCCTCCAAGTCTGTAATTGTCCGAGGAGTCCTAGGGCAAGCAGTCTTCTGATATTTCTCCCAACCCCTAAGCTGCAACTGGGGAGACATGCTCTTCTCCCATGCCCTCCTTATCATGCCAGAAGTCCCACTCCGTTACTAGGGCAGGACCCATTAGCCAGAGCAGGAACCATTATCTATATGAACATCATCAGGAAGGAAATTCCTCTCTGCTGCCCATTATTTCAAGAAGGGATTAATCCCAAGGTTTGGG